GGGAGGGGGGAGGTAAAACCAAAAAAAAAAAAAAAAAAAAGACCACTGCATCCTCACCTTGCTCTGCTACCCGTGCATGGCACAAGCCTGGGCGCAGGGCACCGGCACCAAGAGCTTTGATGGGGGGAACCCAACGTGACCAGAGCAGAGAGCAGAACAGCTCGGCTGCTCCATCCCTCGCCAACACGCACGAGCCCCCCATGAGCCTCCTAAAGTTTCCACAGGAGGTTTTCTAAGGACTGCCATTAAATAACCAGAAAAACACCTGCCAATCAGCAGCAGGAAACGACACCTACAGAGGCAATTCTGCTCAGCGCTTTCAATTGCAGCATTTCAGCCCAAGCGTGTGCAGTAGGTGGGGAAGCCCCAGAATAACTCGGTCCCCGCGCAGTGGGTGGCAGCAGCAAGGAGAGGTCCTGCCGCTGCAGCCTCCCGCAGGAAAACACCGTGGGAAAAGGAGGGAGGGAGAGAGGGGGCTCAGCACAGGCGGCACCGAGGCAGTGGCACAGGGGAGGGTGCGAATGCCGGTGCTTACCGTCTGCCACTCCTTCCCCAGGTTTTCTTGTTTATTCTCATTCTTTCTAGGCTTCTGCATCACCGTGTTCATAGCCAGGCACTGCCCAAACCCCCGGCCGGGCACCCCAGATCCCCACCCAGGGCTGCTTTGCTCGAGGATGTCCCTGCAAACCTGGCCATCCTGACTTGGACAGCCCGGAGAAAGCCTCAGCAGGCAGGAGGGCAGCGAGGCGATTTCTGCACCCTTTATAAAACAGGCAGCAGCTACACAACCGCTCTGGATGTTTTTTGCCAGGGCTGGCCCTTGCAAACAATGGGGAGGAGACCCAACACCTCACTGACAGGACCCCTGTCCCTTGCACAGAGGGAGGGGGTCAGCACCCTGCCATCACCTACCTCGGGTGGGTGCACGGGAGGCAAGTTTCGGGTCCTGGGTGGGCAGCTCCGATGGGCTGGGCTCACTTGGGGCTTGGGGTCCCTTGTTCTTGCTGACAGGCATCGGCTGCGGCAGCACTTGCTTGGGCAGACCCTTGAAGAACCAGGCACCGGAGCGCTTCCACACCTGGGGGGTGCAGGCAGCGGGGTGGCACCCATGTCTCGGGGGGATGCTGGGTGCCAAAAAAAAAAAAAAAAAAAAAAAAAAAAATTCCCCATATTAACACTCAAAGACCCTTATCCAAGGCTATATTCAAGGTAGAAATTGTGTGGACATAATGAGGCCAAGGACTACAACTCTTCTTCATTGTATTTTACTGGGAATGTCTGATGGAAGAGGATCCACTGAGATAAGTCTTATTTCTGACTGCTTACATAAGATTCTGTTTGTGAGGAGTCAGAGAGAGCCACCTGAGGCCCATCCAATCCCAGTATATACAAAACAAGATCATCCTATAAGAACCAGACTCAAGTAGCTGGACAAGGTTTCATGATGCTGGGGGACAGGCTGAAAGTCCCTGGGACTCCCAGACAGGAGCTGGTCCTGTCTCGGAGGTCTGGGGTGGGGACAGTGCACAGGGTGACAAACCAAGGGCAGGGACCGCATCCCCACTCCAGCATGAGGACCATCCGAGGCAGGGGAAGCGCCCGGGCTGCCGTGCTCACCTCGCGCTGCTCGCTGCAGATCTTGCAGAGCCAAATGGCGTGGGGCCGGCTGGTGGTGGTCTCCCCCCCGCCCTTGGGGCAG